TGGGATTAAACGCAGTCAGAATCTGTTCTGCGGCACGAAAGGACGCGCGTTTCCGTGTATCCTGTTCCGTTTCAATTTCACGCGATGGATTCTCCTCGTCTCGGTTGGTTGTCTCGCGTCTCGAGGGGTTAATAGAACGCCAAAAAAAGGGGGGGATGTTGGATCGAGTTTAATGTTGGATTCGAAGGAAGTGGTTATCCGAAGGGTATTATTTTTATGTTTTGAAATGAAAGTTGTAAGAAAGTGTTTGCGCCTAGACGTTTTGAGGATCGTACAAACCTTTGAAAATTTTTTCTTCCTTTTTTTTTTTTAACGAGTAATTTTCAAAACGTCGCGAGAATTTTAAAAATAACAGGACACAAATAATAGTAGATTTTCGTCTTAGTAAGATTTCTTTTACTTTTTCGAAATTTTTCTAAAATTTTCTTCCTTAAAAATTTCGAATTCTTAATTTTTGATATTCGAGAAAAAGGATCGAATTTTAATTCTTTAAACTTTCGTCACTCGTTCGATCCATTTATCGATTTAAACGTATCGAACGAACGTAACAAGAGATACATATACGTACTTAATATTATGAAATAGTTCAGGATACGGCCGATCGCGGGCAAAAAAGCGATATACGCACACGTGCGCGCAATTAGTCTATCATCAGACGCGCGCGCGCGCGCGCATATGACTCAAACCAGATGGAGGGTTGAGCAACAAAGTTCTCTCTCTCTTTCTTTCGAGTAGTGGTCTTATTTATTCTTTTATTACATTACATGTTTCCGTTACATATTCTTTTTTTATTCATTCTACGTGTTGTTTTAAACGTTTCTTTTGTTAAAAACATCACATTTTTTTTTTTACACTTTTGCTTCCCCAATTTTCTTAAAAATAGATAAAAATGAAATAATAGTAAAATCAAATGAAAACGACATATAAAATAAATAATAGTCGAGTTAAAAATATAAAAGAGAAATGGTCGAGGTATGTAAATTGGTAAAAAAAGAAACGAAAATGGTTATCATGAGATAAAAAGATAGAGATTATATATATCGACTGTATGGATCCTTTGTCGTTCAAATGGTTGAAACGCGTTCAAGCTTTGCTTCTTTGACGTGGCCTGTCAGACGTGCCGCAACCGCAATATTCTCCATCGCTTGTGTACGAACTCGAAGAATCCGAGGAAGATGAGCACGACGAGGACGACGATCGTCCTGAAAACGAAATCAAATCTTCTTTCTCTCAACTGTCTCGCGTGCGTATGCGACAATATCGATCGAGTCAATTAAATTAACCAGAAAAATTATTTCTCGATTAATTCTTCTTTAATCAGAAATCAGAAACTTTTCCGGATAATTGATACGATTATTAAAAATTATACATAGGAAACAAATATTACGATAAATATTCCCGATCTGGAAAACGAAATATCTCGTCGAACATTTTACTTACTTTAATTCCTATAGCATATGATTTATATCGATCGAGTCGAATAAATTATCGATATCCAGAAAAATTACTATTTCTCTATTAATTCTTTAATCAGAGAAACAGAGACCAGAAACTTTTTCGGATAATTGATATTATTAAAAATTATACGTGGAAAACAAATATTACGATAAATATTCCCAATCTGGAAAGCGGAATATCTTGTTGAACATTTTACTACTTTAATTCCTACAGTATATCATTTATATCGATCGAGTCGATTAAATTAGCGGTATTCGGAAAAATTATTATTTCTCGATTAATTCTTTAATCAGAAACCAAAAACTTTTCCGGATAATTGATATTATTAAAAATTATTCGTGGAAAATAAATATTACGATAAAGCGAATCTCATCAAATATTTTACTACTTTAATTTCTACGGTATATCATTTATATCGATCGAGTCGATTAAATTAGCGGTATTTGGAAAAATTATCTCTCGATTAATTCTTTAATCAAAGACCAAAAACTTTTCCGGATAATTGATATTATTAAAAATTATACGTGGAAAATAAATATTACGATAAAGCGAAACATCTTATCGAATATTTTACTACTTTAATTCCTACGGTATATCATTTATATCGATCGAGTCGATTAAATTAGCGGTATTCGGAAAAATTATTATTTCTCGATTAATTCTTTAATCAGAGACTAAAAATTTTTTCGGATAATTGATATTATTAAAAATTATTCGTAGAAAATAAATATTATGATAAGGAACATCTCATCGAATATTTTACTACTTTAATTCCTACAGTATATCATTTATATCGATCGAGTCGATTAAATTAGCGGTATTCGGAAAAATTATTTCTCGATTAATCCTTTGATCAGAGAATAATACTTCAATTCCTACAATTGCCGTAATATGATCTAGGAAAAAATTTAATTGAAAAAACTCTCACTTTTACTTCTTCCAGTAGTTTTCTTTTTGGAAGACTTGTACGACGATCTGTTGTCGCAGGACGATTTCGACGACTTGTTGGAGGATCGTCTCCCGTTGTTCCGTTTCCCCTTTCGGCTCGTTCTTCGTTTCGCCCTTCGGGGCGAGCTATCGAATTCGAAACAATCGCATTCCGAACAATCGCAATCCTCCGAAAGCGTCGACTCCGAGGAAGAGGTGTAAGAAGTCGAACTATCCGTGCTATCGGAGTGGTACCTGCCGCTCCGCTTCCGGGAACCAAAACTTCTACACGATTTCTTCGAAGTTGACTTTCTGGAACTTGATTCAAATTATAATAATGAAAAAAAAAAAATATTTAGGCAAAGTAATCCGAAAAATTGAAAATTTCTCGAAATAATCATATTCGAATTTTTTCGAGACAAGTAACTGCTTTCGATGTAAATAGAAATAGTTATAATAAATAAATAAAAATAAATAAAAATAGAAATAGTTATAATAAATAAATAGTAAATAGAATAGAAATAGCCTATGAATTTTTCTTGATTAAAGGACGATACATTACGAATTTTATTACGCGAGAAATTTTAATCGAACGAATAATTTTATGACAGAGTATAAAATAGAATACAGTATAAAAAAATTTTATTATTTCTTTAACATTACTCACCTCATTTTATTTTCTTTCTTCAAACTGTTACTACAACTGTTACTTGTTTGAGATAGAAAAGACAGACCACTTTCTTCGACTTTTTCTTCGTTTATTATCTCATTGTTTGAGTATATTTAAACATATTTAATTGTAATATATATATAATATTTTCATTCAATACTCAATGTATTTGAAATGTAGATATATATATATATTATAATTAATAAATGAAGATCGAAATTTTCCACGAGATTCAAACAATGATTACCTTCTTCCAATCCAACGCTCGAATAATTTCCGTTGAGAGCAATTCGTATCTATATATATATATACACAATTGTCACCTTTCTGTATTAGTTTTTATCTAATTTTACGTTTAAGCCTATCAACAATACGTTCAAATTTAAAAATAAATTTGGAAATGTATATATATCTTCATAATAGAATTAAATTATTAAATAAAAAAAAATAATTCGTTAAATTGAACACGTTTACTATTAACGATATTACAATTATTATACATAAATCATTCTTCCAATCTCTTTTATTATTAATCGACAATTTTCCCTTTTTCCCAGTTTATCGATCTGAATATATCAATGATGGGCAAAATTTAATAGTTGATGATTTACCTTGATGATTTTTCAAAACATACACACACATACACACATATATATATAATAATAATCGAAAATATAACGGGAAGAGATTATATCGAATTATTCGAGCATTTCACATAATAAATAATTAACTTTATTCGAAATTCTTAACTAATTATTTTCTGGTCAAAATTAAAGTGGAATGATTTTGTGAAGCTTTTTTTCATTCAGATTTTCATCTTCTGAAAAAATCTTCTCGATTTTTAGGAAGAAAAATATTTCTCTCTCGATTGAAAAATGTCGAAAAAGGAGATTCCCTTTCACGTGGTTTCAATTCGTTCTTCGAAGGTGCAGGTATCGAGGATTACGAGTCTTTTTAGGGGAGGAGGGGGTGTGTTTCCTTGCCACCCCTCGTGGCTGACTCACGCCCCTTAATAATCCCTCGCAACCCCTCGTTTACGCGCTTCGAGGAGTCACCCCTTCCAATATTTCCTCCACCATCGTTTCTGCATTCTACTGAATGGGGATCATCGAACTTTCCGCCTTGTTTGTTCAACCGTTTAATGAAGGATCAAGGATTTTGTAAATTATGTTCATTTTGTATTTGTTATTAGTTCAATAAATTTAATAATCTCGAAAATAAATTTATATAATTTCATTCTTATTAAAAAATTAATGTTAAAGAATTACAAGTGTAAATTTAGAAATTAAACTGAATTTGAATTTATTAATTTATTATAATATATATATATATATAATAAATTATATATATATTAATATTATTAATTTTTAGATAATTTAATAAGATTGATAATTTGATTTAACAAAATTTAATAATTCAAAGTTTAAAATGTATACATTTTAATTATTAAAAAGTAATAAAAAAAAAATTCAATATTAATTATATATTAATCAATGTTTATCAAAAACGTTTGCGCCACGAATGAATTTTTCGAGTCCTTTGGGACTCCTCGTGGGGCAGTAGACGAAAGGGGGCGAAAGCTCGTGGCAACGTGGTCAACAGGCTATCACAGGTGACACAATGGAGTTAGCCCCGAGACGCGAGTTAAACGGGACAATGGGAGTGTATATATATCCGAGATCCATTGTCCCATCGATCCTCAATCTGTCACGTTGGGTGGGTGTGAAACGTCAAAACGCGGGGAGGGGACAAAGGGAGTACGCCCCTGGGGATGACAACCATCGACCTGTGAATGGAGGACGCGTGCCATTACAATGGAGTAGCCCACTCGTCCGTCCAACTCCACTCCTTCAACAACCTTCTCACCCACCGAGAAGCGATCCGAATTAATTCGAATTTCCCGCTTCGCGAAAAGAATGGAACGAACGAACACGAATTTCAATTGGTGAATTTATTTCGCGTGAAAATGATGAAGAGGTTTCGAGGAAGAGTTTTTGCAACGTGTTTTATTATTCGCTATTACATATAAGTGGTTACATCGATAAGGTAGATCTTTTTCGATTGATTATTTTTCTAATGTTATTTCGTCGGTAAAGAAGGGTATATATAAAGTTCGAGAAGGAAAAATTTGATTTGAAAGATTTCAAAAAGCGGGGGAGAAGAAGGCAGGGCAAGATGGAGGATGAAGAGGAGAAGATATCGGGGGGAATGGAGGGGGAAATGGTTGGTTTTGCAGATGTGAAAATAGGGCGAGATATGATGCACGCCAATTACAGATAGCGCAATAATAAATAACTGACCAGCTAGAGATATCAATTGTCTAATAACCTCGGTTGAAGCTCGTATATCAATTAAACAATTTAATTATAATTTAATCTCTTATCGTTTAATTTCCTGCGTAAATGATATATTAAATATATATATATATATATATTCAATTACTTTTCGTTGTGAACGAAAGATTTAAATAATATTTGTACTTTTCTCCATGACAAATTGAAATGAAATTTTTTTTGTTGGAAAAGGGAATGAAGGAAATTCATTTACGTTCATTAGCATACCAACAAATCGGAGATTCATTAGCATTCGCGGAAACGCGATTTCGCCAAAAGCGGCACGGTCGATTGAAAGACGCGGCCGGAATCCGATTAACGAGAATCCCTTTTTCATCCCCTCCCTGATTTTTCAGCTCGAATCAACGGTGGATTCCTGGTGAACGGAGTCCTTTGAGCGTCGAGACGAGCATCAAAGGACTTTCTTATACGCTTACGCGGAACTCGGTAATAGGAAGATGACGTTTATGAGGCGGGTGGTACAACAAGAAAACGCAAGCTATCTTTATCTCAAGAGCGAGAGACGTATCCGGTCGTACCGTGTTCTTTCTACCCTTCCATCCTTCTCATTTATGATGGAATAAAGGATATAACGAAAAAAAAATTTACGCGTGAAGAGTATAATATAAAAGTATGTGTAGATTCTTTATATAAAATAGATACGTAAAATGTGTATGTGTGCGTGTGTATTTGGGACATATAAAAATTAGGTAAATTTTTTCAAGATTTTTAATCGATTAGATTTTCAGAAATACATTTATAGAGTAGATGTAAAAGATGAAAAGAATAACGAATAAGAGAAGGACGGAGATAGAGTAAAAATTGTGAAATCAGCTCCATCTGTAGAGTGCCGCAAAAGAAACTGTATACACAAGGAGTATGAATAAAACTGATCACTAATGCCATCTTTTGAATTCAAAAGATACCTCTTTAAAGATATGGTAAAGTAGAATAAGAATTCAGAGCTAGTGCCATCTTTTGTACATTAGAAATAACTTCTTATAATTAGTTATAGAATCGTTTAGAGATGGCAGTAGTATTAAATTCTTTCCTACTTTACCTATTATTTATTAGTAATATCTTTCGTATTTAAGAGATGACACTGATGGTCAATTCCTATTCTATCTCTATCCTTTTTTCAATTATTTTCTGTCCTTTGTTCATACGTTTCATTTACGGCACTCTACAGAGAGCCTTGATTTCGATATTTTTATCTCTATCCTTTATCAACTATCGATCTAAATTCTTGTTTAAAACTAGTTTCCACGATATTTAAGAGATAACAAAATAATGTTAACTTCAAATTTGCATTATTCTTTTCCGCCTTTAAGCGACTGATCAAAAATGTTAATAAAATTTATTTCATTCAATTTTTATATGTTTTTATATGTTTTATTTTCATATATCGTAAATCTGACATGCATCCTATACATATACCTTATATAGATTTTTGAATTCCGATACATGTATATTAGATAATATATAAATTTTTATATAATTCTTATCTATTTAAAATACATTCTACCTATTAAAATATGTAATATTATATAACTTAAAATATTTTGTTTTAGAAATTGCAGTATCAACACGAAAGGATGCAGAAGGCAAGTATAAAGGTAAGTATAGGACTCTTCAATCTATTAGATTTAAGTAAAATGTTGAAAAAATGATTAGATCCTGTAAATAAATCTATTGATAAGGTAAGTATGGGAAAGGAAAGTATGGGAAAGGTAAGTATGGGAAAGGTAAGTATGGGAAAGGTAAGTATAGATAAAAAAAAGTTAACTACATTCAATAAAAAATTTCACGTGCTATCTTCTTCTAAACAATAATAATATGATACAAAAAGAAAAAAAAAAAAAAATTCTTGCATGCAAAAGATTCAGAAAAATTTAATATGATATTTCATATAGAATTATATTTTAATACAAAATCGAAATCTTAGAAAGACTTTTAAATATCAGAAATTTCGATTTTTTATTAGGAGAATATAATTCTAGAGGAGGTGGCACGAGAAATTTTTGGTAAAAGTGTTAGTTTGGCAAATTCTGGCTAAAATGTCGACTTTTGATTAGGAGAATATAATTCTAAAGGAGGTGGCACGCGAAATTTTTAGTAAAAGTGTTAGTTTGGCAAATTCTGGCTAAAATTTCGACTTTTTATTAGGAGAATATAATTCTAAAAGAGGTGGTACGCAAAATTTTTAGTAAAAGTGTTAGTTTGACAAATTCTGGCTAAAATTTCGACTTTTTATTAGGAGAATATAACTCTAGAGGAGGTGGCCCGCGAAATATTTAATAAAAGTGTTAGTTTGGCAATTTCTGGCTAAAT